GGGTATGTGTGCCCGACTGTGAAACAATGAGAGTAGAGGAGGAAGTGTAGTTTCCTGTGTGCAAGGTGCCCTTGGGCTGGGCTGTGTGTCCACCCTCAGATCAGGGAAGGAAGCAAGAGCCAGGAATTCTGTCTCCCCAGTGACCAACATGCCACATTGTCTTTCTGGCACACTTAGGTCCAATCATTCAAATGGAACTCAGAACTCCTGACAATATAAATATGCACAAGATCCCATGTGGGAGGTTCCTAGCCGAGACTAGCACAGATAGAGAAGAGCAGAGGCATAATTTCCCAGGGATAGTACACCCCACTCAGACTCACTTTGGGATTTGAGGGTACCTGTCTTAGTGTGGATTCTCCCAAGAGCAGACCCTGGGACAAGGGCTTGGATGCAGGTAATTTACCTGGGAGATGATCCCCCGAAACAAGGTGGGGAAAGCAAAATAAGAAAGAGAGAAAAGCCAATATCAAGGTGCATTAATGGACTGGTTACTGCTGTGGGCAATAGGGGTTCAATCCTGCTGGAAACCTACCAAGAAACCTTATGAAACCTGCATAGGCATTATCCTCCCAGATGATGTGGGGCAGCGAGGGGTGGGGGAGAGTCTGTGGTATTCATCCACTGACTTCCATCCCCCCATTGCTTATAAATGATGGTTGGGAAACTTTCAAGTTGGATCTGTGGAGCAAAGCAAGGTGTCCAGCTCAGCCTCTCTAGCTGTTCAGTGCACAGCCCCTACCACTGCCACCACCATTATAACACCACCATCACTATAATTCCTGCCCCTCCTGCCCCCAATTGTGTCACTGCCTTTTCTTTCAGCAGGGTTTTTAGGTCTGAGCTTGAAGGAGGAAAAAAAGTGGGATAATATCTTTGCCCACAACTCATTCTAGGAAAAGGGAACTACTATATAGTGGTTTTCTTCTTCCCCCATTTTCAACCTATCTAATTTACCCAAATAGCTCTCAACCACCACCACCTAGTCCCAAAGAAAGGAAAGGGAAGAGGGAGAGGGCAAGAGAAAAGGTAGGTTTTCTGGAATGACTTCTAGCATTACAGAGCCACAGAAGCAGAGCTATAAGGGATGAACTCTTTCATTAGAAAGATGAAAATGAGGCCCAGGGACTTGCCAAGGTCATTCAGTGGGTTAATGGCTATAGCAATAAGTATAGGCTAGGTTATGCTACTGTAAGGAGTCCCTGGTGGTGCAAAAGGTTAACTACTTGACTACTAGCCAAAAGGTTGGCATTTCAAAACCACCCAGAAGCACCTCAGAAGACAGACCTGGTGATCTGCTTCCAAAAGGCCACAGTCTTGAAAACCCTATGAAGCAGTTCTACTCTGCACATATGAGGTCACCATGAGTTGGAATCAACTCAACAGCAATTAACAATAACAACATGTTACAGTAATAGTCTCAACAGTTCACAACAACAAAGACTTAATTTTTGCTCATGCTTTATGCTCATCGTGGGTCACTGTGGCTCACATTTCTTCACTGCAAGACCCAGGTTGATAGACAGCCTTCTGTGGAACACTGCCAGTCCCATGACAGAAGAAAAGAGAATGCATAGACAACCACACACTGTCTCTTAAAGATTTGCCTGGAAACAAGACATGGCACTTTCACTCACATATCACTGGCCAGAGCATCATATGGCCAAGCATAATGTCAATGAGTCAGGGAAGTACGATAAACTATTCAGAGTTCACCAACTTTTTCATTCATGTCCTTTTTCTGTTCCAGGATACAATCCAAGATTCCATATTGTATTTAGCTGTCATGTCTTCTTAGTCTGTTTTAATCTGTGATATTTGTTTCCTTTTCTTCCTGACCTTGACACTTTTGAAGAGTAGTCATTGGTTATCTTGTAGCCTGTCCCTCAATTTGGGTTTGTCTGGTGTTTTTCTCATGATTAAATTGAGGTCATGTCCAGCCCCTAGGGAAGAATTTCCCCCTGAACCCAAAAAGCAGTAGGCCAGCTGATGCCTCAACAAAAATTTAATAGTCTCCCTGAAAATATCAACTGAACATGGCCCTTGCTTCTTACATTCTCTGTCTCTCTCACACACAGATACACACACACACACACATATCTAATTTTCACAAGGACAAAGGACATGAAGCTGGAGCTACTTCACCCTCTACCCTACAGGTCTATTTGGACTAGCTAATTCATTCTTCCAGTCTAGCCAAGCTTTCTAAACAAAGCAAAACAAAACAAAAAACAGGTTTATAAACATCAGGCAAGGAGAAGAAGCCCACAAGAAGGGAGAAGAAAGAAAAGGGAGCACAGTCTTTCTCTCCCGTGACGCCTTCCTGGCTCACCAGGGAACATCACCTGCACCAGTATCTATTGCATGACTACTATGTGCCAGTCACATGTTAGATCCTGAGGAGACATTGTTTCTGTTGTTGAAGGGCTTACATTCTCATGGGGGAGGAAAATATGTAAACGATAGGGACCCTAAAGTGTGCCTGGTGACGAGAGGGAAGTGGGTAGAGGGCACAGGCGAGGATTCCAGAGAAAAGTCTGTTGGCGAGGTGGGCGCAGGAAGGAAGACTTCATAAAGAAGTGACCTTTACATGGTGCTGGTACATGCTGCTGACCTAGGAGAGGGAACATAGGCGCAGAGGGGTGAAACACTGTGGTGCTGTTCTGGAAATGGCTGGAGAATAAGGAACCAGGGGAGGCAGGGAAAGAAGAAAAGCCAGTAACATGAGCAGATTTGCTTATCATGAGAATAAATTTGCATGAGAATGGATTGAGACTTACACAATAGTCCAGGAAAGAGATGAGGAGGCCTGATGTAGACAGAATGAGAGGTGTCAGCAAACTGGAGTTGAGAAGGCTCAGTAACTGCTATGATAGAGAGCAAGGAGGGAAGGGAGAGAAGGGAAAAGTACCCCCAGTTTGTGGCTTGGGTGGCAGGGAGGATAGGGGTCCACAGACCTGTGACAGGCAGCTCTAGAGGAAGAATGGGTCTCTTGCATCCTTCTTTTGCCATACTCTACTTAGCACATGCCTCCAGCGATCTCTCACCTTGTGGGATTGTGACCATTGGGTGGCAAGAAACTTCTTGAAATAGTCACTGATGTTTCTCTCTTTACTTCCTTCTTGCCTTGGAAGTTTATGGTTTGCCAAAACTGAAGGAACTTGCCTACAGGCACTTTCCACAGTGACTTTTGCTTCCCAAAGTTAAGCCACTGAGCTGTTTATGTGACGGGACCTGGAGAGGGAAGGAGAAGCTCCCGGGAGGGGAGGGGCATAGGTACTGAGGAAAAGGGGACAATCATTTCTGCAAGCCCAGAGCTGCAGTGCCCCACACTCTACTGAGGAAACTCAGAGAGGATGGCTGAAGCCTGTTACAGGTTCCCAGCCCCAACAAAGACTTCGGGACCCCAGGAGTGGCAGAGCCAAAGGGCTGGGAACAGGAGGAGGTGTCTTGTCCCCGCAGAACGCAGTGCCGGCACTAGAGGGGCCTCCCCAGATCCTTGCAGCTGCATTAAACCCCAGGTCTTCGTATTATGGGGAGGGCTGAGCGCCTCTAAAATCGAGGTCAATTTTCTGCCAGCTCTGTGGAATGGGAACTCGGGGTAGTGAGGGGACTAGGTTGATGTAAATAAATAAAGGAATACACTGTTTCTTGGACATACTTCTCTCCACTCTCTGGGCAGTCTGGATCTCATTCATCACGGCGGTCCCAGCACTCAGCTGAGAAGACATACTGCAGGAGGAACACATGGAGAAAGGGGGGCGGTGTGCACCGTCTCCCCCATCAAACTAACGGACACTCTCGTGCCCATCTCTCTACCCCAGGGTCTGGCAGGCTGGGTCCTCAAAAGGAGGTGGCGTTCCAAGCTTCCCCTTTTAAAATGCTTATAGAGTATGCGAAAATACTAAACAGAAGTGGGAGAGGGTCTATCCGCTGCAGCTCCCACTGCAGTCACCTATCCGCATAGCCAGCTCCACGAAACCAGGGTATACTTGGCCAGCGAGCCCGGAGGGACCTGGCAGGAGAAGGCAGTGCTGAGCCTGGCTGGGCTAAGGAGGAGCTGCGCCTGCGCACTTCAGACTCTGAAGTTGCCGAGCCCTCAGCGAGGTAGGCGGGGTCTGCCCGGGCATCCGGGTCCCTCACCCCGCCCCTGCAGCATGAATGAGAGGCGCGGCGCCCGCCCCTCCCCCGCCGGGCCCGCCCCTTGCTGGGGGTTGCCAAGCGCAGTTGCCGCCGCCGCCCCAGCTGCTGTCGGTTTGGTCTGACGCTTGCTGCCCGCAGCCCGCCCCCGGGTGCTGAAGGTCCCGCAAGCCCGTCGTCGCCACCGCCACCGCCGCCGCCGCCGCCGCTGCCGGCGCGCCCGAGTGAGTGAGGGAGCGAGGGTGGGAGGCGCCGAGGGCTGCCGCCCCCGGGTGGGAGCTTAGGGGACAGAGGGGACTCCCGATCCGGGATGCTGAGGAGACCGCGCGCGGGCCCGCGCCAGCCTCCCACACACATTTTCCAGGCCCCCAGGCGTTCCGGCGCTGGGTGGAGAGGGGTAGGGGCAACGTGCCTGTGAGGGAGGCAGAGGAGGGTCCAGCGCGGCCCTGGGGCCGAAGGGTGAGTCCCGTACAAAGGGCGGCGCGGGGCTGTCACCGGGAGGTCATCGAGGGGAAGTTCGTGGCGCCCCGCACGGGCTGGGGACGCATCCGGCGGGCAGCCGTACACCGCTAACCCGCGCCCGGCGTCGGGTCCCAGGGCGTGGGAGAGGGCTGGGATGAGGAGGAGGATGGCGAGGACAGATGCCTGCGTGTTGGCGATGGGAACGCGCCTTGGGGGGCGCGGCGTGGTAGTGTTTTCCTGGTCCCAATCTACTCCTCCCCTTTCTTTGTGGCGCTTGTCTTGCCCGTTTGTCACCGTTTGCATGGCTGTGGTCTGGGTTGAAACCTCTCGCTTTCTGCGTACTCATTAATAGAAGTCATGTAGTGGCCTCATCATCTGTGGGGGGGGGGGGGCGTGTGTGTGGTTAATAAGACCCTCCTTTGTTTCCGGAGACCTGATGGTGCGTGTGTGTGCATATTGGAGGCACCTATAAAATAAGAGAATCAGAGATCATCAAAGAGGATGTGAGGGAAAAACCACATATTACTTCATCAGCTCTTTACCCAACTCTGTGTCTGATGTTGTTTCAAACAGCATTTTGTTGTTGTTCCGTACTGTAAAACCAGTGGGTTTTGTTGAAGATATGTCTGTATTCTCATATACATCTAGAACACTTTGCTTTCGGGTTTAGTTAATGGTCGTATATTCATGCATGTGTACTTGGGAATACTCCGATACATATAGGTCCCTGCCTTGTGGATTCGCTTAACCGATAATATGTCTGTGTAGTCATGTACATGTATATAGAAATATGCCGATATATCTAGGATATTTTCTCGGCTGCTCGGTACAGGCAGATTTTGTTTCTTCTTGCCTTCTTGTCTTAATAACAAGGTGGTCCAGCAGGTTCTTTCCACCTTCTTGTTTTGTGTTTTTTTTTTTTTCCCTTAATGCTTTGGCAGAGGGCTTTATTGCATATTAACCTGGCATGCGCCCTTGCTTTGATCTGAATTTTCTTGTGTTCTGTTGTCTGGTTGTGCAGCCCAGCTCAATGGCTCCTCTTACAGGACTACTGGAAAACAGAACACCTTTTTTCATTGTCCTCATCCCCCGAGAGAGAAGAAAGCTCTGCAGATTCCCACAGACTTTGCCTTAGTTGGACTGTCTGACTTTGCTGTTTGTCTTTGGTAAGGTTATGAGGAGTTAAAGTTGATGTGGACCAATTAAAAAGAGGCAGTTGTAATAGCACCAGCTATTTCATGCTATTTCGAAATACACCTTTTAAGTTTTAGAAGATAACTGTTACTTTGGTTGCGTGAAGATTTTCAGTTTCTGTTTTACTCTTATAATTTTTGAGGGTGGTGGAAACTCAGTTATAGGAAACACACCTCCAAAATATATTTTTATTATGATCTTTTGATTAAAAATAGCAGTGGTAAAGAAATTAAGAGGAGCATATTTTTGGATGATGAAACGTTTAACTGGATAGGTTTGGTTTTCTTTGCGATTCTCTTTATTATTTTTAATCACATGTATTTTAATTCCTGGTAGTTTTGAGTATAAAATGAAATGTGAACTAAGCAGTCTTCCACAGCATCTGTTTATGTATATTCCCTCAGTTTCAAGCATTTGCTTTTAATTTGAAGGGGAAGTTTTCCATTGGTTGGATCAGGATCCATTATTCTTGGCAAAATTCTTACCTCATGCTACCATGGTCAAATTCTTTTCTTTTCTTTTTTTTTTTGGTAGAAGTTAAAATTGGTAAAAGTTGTTTTTTCTATTGGAAAGGTTTTGGTTTATGATGAAAGATGTAAATAAAATTTTAATATCAATTAGTTTAACTAGATAAGTTAATTTAAAAACAAGAGCTTCATTAACTAGTAACACTAATATTGAAGCATCCCAAAACATTTATAACCTGCCTGTCTTGATTGCATGAGACATTTTTTAGGAATCTCCTTGAAACAAACCATAAGAGGGACTCTTAGATAAACAGAGTGTAACCGGAATTATCACTGAAATAGGCTTGCATAGTATTGCAATACAGTGCAACTTTAATTTTGCAAGACTGACTTAGCTATTTTTTGTGTAAACAAAAGTACCTAAATACAGCCTGGCCTTGTTATTCAGCATTCTGTTAATCAAAATCTTTACCAACCCACAGTTTAGCATTTTTGTAGTATGATCCCAAAACAAAAACCCACTGCCTTCGAGCCATTTCCAACGCATAGAAAGTACCCCATAGGGTTTCCAAGGCTGTAAATCTTTAGGGAAGCAGATTGCCACATCTTTCTTCCGCGGAGCGGCTGGTGGGTTCAAACTGCCAACCTTTCAGTTAGCAGCCAAGCGCTTAACCACTGTGCCATCAGGGTTCCTTGTAGTATGATTAGTGAAGAAAAATTCTAAAGTAACTTCTATATCATCACAATAGATTAAATTGTTAAATTCTGTTTTAGTATTAAATATATGCATTCATTGGAAACCCTAATATTGATATATTAGTGATGGTAATAGCATATATGATAACACATTGTTAATCAAAACTGGGATGCATTTTCCTCCCAACAATGTCTGATAACAAAAAGTAGATTGTTTTTCCATTGAGCATTCCGTATCAATAATTTTCTTTTTCAAATGGCAGTTCATTCTGAAGTCAGTAAGACAGTAATGTTATTGTAATGTATTAGCTTGAACCATATGGAATTGCCATTTTTAAAAGTAAAAAATGGCCAAATATCAATTTCATAAGACTTAACCCAGTAGTAGAATGTTTGGAAGATAATTACAAATTTAGATTCTGTGGCTCTCAGTGTTTTTTGTGTCTATTGTTTTGTTTCCTTTTTATCTTTGTTAGTAACAGTAGAGGTATTTTCTACATTTACCAGGTATGACAGAGGAGAGAATGTGATTTGTCCAAGGACATAGAGATTCAAAATCTGCAGTCTTAAGTAATTGGAAAAAAAATTTCTGTTTTAACAAGGTTGGACATGTACCTAGAAAAAAAAAGAGTACTACTATAGCAGTCCGTTGTCCCATCCTGCGCATTCCCAGTTTTCAATCCCGGTGAGGCAGCCACTTTAAATTCTTAGCAGCCTTCTTGTATTTACCTTCACATTTATTTTGTTTTTAATGTTTATACTGCTATTTCTTGATTTTTTCAGCTTTAGATATTATCTGTGGGCTTCTACTTTGGAAGTTGAGGACTTAGCTCTCCCACACAACCATTTCTCCATCCCCCACTCATAACTATACTTCACAGTTCTTAGTTAAGTCAGTATTCAGTATTTATGTGATTATGACAATGTACTTATTATTCACAAAAGAACCATGTAGTGTACTGTTACTACATTTTCATTCTTGTACAACTTATTGTTTCTCCTGAATTAAATAATTGCCTCTTTTGTTTGTTTGTGTGTTTTTCATTTGCATAGTTTTCTTTGTGCCAGTCACTAATTCATCCTCAAAGTCTATAACAGAGCTGGTAATCTCTCAGTGTTTTCAGGTTACCTCTCAGTTTCATTTCTTTTTCCTTGGAGACAGTCTTCTTGGAGCTCTCGCTGTCCTATCCCAATCTAGATTGATTTGATCTCTGGGTTGCTGTATAACTGTAATCCTGGGACTTCCCTTTGTCATCATCTTGGGAATCCCCTTTGCATTCCTCCTGTGTTGGGTCGCCTATTTCCTGGATCCCATGTCTTCCTTACTCTTTAGTAGCTTCCTGAGAAAGGACACATGCAAAGTCTGTAATTCCTTCCAGAATTCAGAAGTTGCATGTCTGGAAATGTCTTCATTTTACCCTCACACTTGAATGGTGGTTTAGCTGGGTATTGAATTCTGGGTTGAAGATTCGTGTCCCTCTTGTTAAAGGCATTTTTCCATTAGCTTCCAGTGTTGCTATTGAGAAATCCAATGCCATTCTAATCCCCATTCCCTTGTGTATGACCTCCCCCCACACACACTCTGGAAATTTTTAGAATCTTTTGTTTATTCCTGATGTAGTGACATTTCATGATGGTCTTTTACTTTGTTTGTGTGGCAGATTGTGTTTTCCAAAAATGACTATATATGTGAACACACGCACACACACGTTCACACACATCATCCCACCCAATATAGGCTTCTTTGTGGGGTTTACAGGTGAGGTCTGTGTTTCCTCCCTTGTACCTGGGCAGACACAAATGCTTCCCAGAATGTTTTAGATCTTGAGCCAGCATTGTGGTTTAGGAGCATGACTGGGTGATCAAGAGCATACACCTGAACAGTGGCCACTGCTAGATGTCCAGAGCCATCCAGGTCGGCATCTACCTTCCCCTTTGTCTTGTGACAGCTATTCAGACATTTAGATCAAGCACTATGATGGATGTGTATCTGTGGTGGGAAGGTGTTTAGGTTTTGTTTTATTACGTTTAAATGGAATTGTTGCTGGAAACACCAGTTAACATCAGGGATAGTTTCTTCAAGCAGTGAAATGCAGTCACTTTCGGAATCAACAGAAAGGTTATCGGTACATTTTAAAAAAACAAATCCACCTTCGGAAGTGACAGAACCATTCATGACCAAAAAGAAATTATCTTTAATCTTCATGATTAAAAATCTCATGAGTAAATATGATAAATGTATTGTTTGCAGAAATTCTTGTGATGAGAAGATGGAGACAAAATGGAACTCCGGAGACCATAGCTTGATTGGACATTGACAGTGACTTTTGTATTTGTCCCATGGATACATATTTTTTTTTAATATTCTTTTTTTACTCATGCATTTGTTTCTGTTTTCAGCTGCCTTGTCCCTCATCTGGCTTTTCTGTGACTCCACAGGAGTGACTGAGTATTGCTAAAGAACTTTAGGTTCATAACCAAAAATCTGAAGTGAATGCTTAGCACTGCCCAGGAAAACTACCACTGATTCCGAGTAAGATTTTTTTTTTTTACTTATGAAAGTCTCCCAATTCCTTAAACTCATCAGCAGCCCACTTTTCCCCACTCAGATAAGCTGTTCTCATACTTCATTGAGATTTAAAAGTTATCAGGCAGAAGCCCCTCATCTTCCCCTCACCAAATCTAGAAACCTACCTTCCTTAGGACCCATGTTTCCTGTCTTCTTTTCCTTCTCTTTACGATGTAGAAGTGTGTCTGCTTTTATCAGAGGCCAACTCCTCTCTCCCCCCATAGCCCCTCATACCTTCTCAAGGACTCAGCTCCTGCATTTGTGCCCTGTTTCTTATATCAACAGCAGCTCCTCTCCAAAGACCATCCATGTCAGCATACACAGATGCTCTAATATTGCCCATCTTTAAAAACGAACAGAATAAAACATTACAATCAACGGACAACTTTCCTCAGACCTTCCAACCATCTCTTTCTGTCTACCTTCATGGTTAAACGTCTGAAAAGAGAAGTCTGCATTTCCTTCCTACTTCCTCTGTAGTATGTATCACTCTCTGAAATTCTGTTGTTGACCAATTTTTTTTTTTGTCCTTTTTTTTTTAATTGGGGTAAAAATATACACAGCAAAACATACACCAGTTCAACAATTTATGCATGTATAATTCAGTGACATTGATTATATTCTTCAAGTTCTGCAACCGTTCTCAATATTCTTTTCCAAATTATTCCACGACCATTAACATAAACTCACTACCCTCTAAACAGAAACTCCCCCTTCACCCTCCCTCCTACCCTTGGTAATCACTATTAATTTTTGGTTTCTATATATTTGCTTATTTCATGTAAGTGAGATCATACAGTATGTGTCCTTTTACAACTGACTTATTTTGCTCAGCATAATATTTTCAAGATTCATCCATGTTGCGGCATACATCGGAACTTCATTTCTCTTTACGGCTGTATAATATACCATTGTATGTATATACCACATTTTGTTTATCCATTGCTCTGTTGATGGACATTTCAATTGTTTCCACATTTTGGCTGTTGTGAAAAGTGCTGCAGTGATCATTGGTGTACAGATTTCTGTTTGCGTTCCTGCTTTGTTGATCAATTTTTTTTGTCCATTACCCCCACTAGAAAGTCGGCTCCAGGAAAATAGAGACCTCATCTGTTCTCTTCACCATTATGTCCTATAGGACAGCAGATGACGCAAGCCCCTACTCAGTATACAGGCAAAAAAGACACAGCTGATATTTTTAACCTGGTAGAATAGCTCTTGCTTTTTAAACATTTCTAAAAAGAAAGTTCATTTTGATTTCTTTAATTAGTCATCACTTTTTGCTACACTTAGAGCTGAAAAAATTATGGACTATATTAATGATTTAATTTTCCCCTATATTACATTTCGTTATTTTGTAAGTATAATTTAATATCGGCAGTCTAGCACCTGGATTTTGGAGTCAGACTGCTTGGAGTTTGTTATGGATTGAATTGTGTCCCCAAAAAATAATGTGTTGAATTTCTGGTCCTTGTACCTGTTGATGTGATCCTATTTAGAAATAGGGCTTTTCTTTTACTATGTTAATGAGGTCATATCAGTGTAGGATGGGTCCTAAAGCTAATCACTTCTGAGTTATAAAAAGATTAGCGTAGACAGAGAGATAGACACACATAAGTGGTGTAAAAATGGTGCATGGGAATGGCATCAGACCTCCTCATCTAACTTCACAAGGTGGAAAGAAAATCATTATCAGCATCAACAGCTCAACAGATTGCTATGAAGCAGACGTCAGATGTACCTCCTCTCTCCAACTTTTTTCCAGTTCTGACACCAGCCATCCCTCCCGTGGCACTCTACTCCTCTGCTGGGTTCAGTAATTCTTTGCAGTGGCCACACAGAACTCACAGACCATACTCACAGTTATGGGGTTTAATAGGGAAGTAACAGGTTACAATTCAGGATGAGAAACGACTGAGAATACAGTTCTTCAATCAGTACAGCTTCTTCTCAGTCATGCCCGTAGGCAAACCTCTCTCTGGCCCTCTGCCTCTTGGCCCCTTGGCCTCTCAGCCCCTCAACCTCGCCTCTGCCCTGCTCAGGCAAGTGTTACAAAGCTCTTTAGCCCTACCAATAAGTGCCCAGAGGCACCCCACTCCACCAGTAAGCCTCAGCCTGAAGGCACTCAGCTCTCTAGTTCCAGGGGTCCGCCAGCCTAGCTCCGCTGACAAGTGCCCAGAGACACCCACTCCACCAGCAAGCCTCCTGCCTGAAGACACTCACCTTTCTTGCTCTGTGGGCCAGGAAGCCCACTGCACCGTCTCCTGCCAGTCTCCTTGTTCTGCTATTGCCGTTTCTCTGCTGCTGCTTCTCACTATCTCTCGCCGTCACCAGTGTTAACAGCTCTGTCTGTCTCCTGGGTCTAAGATGTTCTTAGCACAGAGACCTCGAGTCCACAGGACATGCTCTGCTCCTGTCTCTTCTTCTTGGTGTAGTGAGGTCCCCCCTTTCCACCTCTGGAGTGGCTCATTTTAAGCTTAGTGGGATGGGAAAACTGACAGCAGAGAGTTGCACAGAAGGACCTCCGTGGTGCTCCAGGGAGTGGGAGCAAGCCTGGAGCAAGGAGTGGCAAGGGAAAGGAAGCCACTTTTTAAATGGCATTACACGTGGACTTCACATTAAGTTATGAATTTGCTCTGGTAAAGTTTAATGCAACTTGAATTTTTATTAATTCAATGCTCTTAGGAGTAATAAAGTTGGTTACTACTGAAGTAACTATAGTGAATGTTGTTATATTGTAAATAACTTCCTGTTTACCTGTTTTCAAAGTGCCTGTTTTCATTTATCAACTTTTCTTAAAGTAATATTTAGCTATTCTTTTCATCTTCTTCTTCTTCTAGAGTTTTGATCATTTGGATCAGTAAAATTTTTCATCTGATCATAAAGCTTATTCTTACATTGACCAAAGGCTTCTGTAGAAAGTTAATGATGTGTGTTTATTGAATGCTCAAAATTAATACTTTACAATCTATCAATATGCTTTATGTTGCCTTTTTAAAAAAATTATTTAAATTGCAGATCTAATTGACAATTATTTAAATTGGGAGATTGACTGGTACTGCATTACCTATGTGTTGTGTTAAATTCATCTGGGTGAACCAAAAAAATCATGAACTACCTGTATCTCTTTATTGTTCTGTCCAAAATTTGAACATATGAAGTTGTGCTCAGTATCAACTTGAAACAGAATCTAGTTATCATATCCAAATATGCTCTTTATCTTGAACTGAAGGAAAAGGTTGGCAGATAATAAAACACCAAAGTATGAGCTAATGCAGTTTATAGGAAATGGGTGGGAAGGGAAATCAAAGGTGTAGGCTTTCATTCTGTTTCTTTAGTGGAAAAGAAATTGCAAAACCTTTTCAGAGATAGGTTGAAAATCTTATGATTGGCCATAATTATACAAACGTTCTTACTTGAACTTGTTGATTGTCCCTGAAAATAGGCCAGAAGGAATTTTTGTGGTATTGAGAAGGATTATTTAAAAAAAGAAAAAAATCACGTAACAGTGTATCGATAGCCAGGGACAATATTGCACCCAGAAAATTATCTTTCACAGTAGCTAACCTATACTAAAACCCTTTTGCATCAGTAACTTTACATGTATTGCTTATTTACTCTTTACAGTAGCTCCCAATATGTTGTTTACAGATAATAAAGCTAAAGATAAAAAAGTAACTGGTCCAGGTTCACAAGGTGAGGGGCCAGGTTTAGAACCCAGGCCTTCACCCCAAAGCCCACCACCTATCACCGCTGATGTTGTAAACTTTTACAAGAATAGTCTCTTCACTATTCAAATGCTATTCTGCACTGGCACTTCTGGAAGGCTGTTGATAAAGAAAATTCAGAGACTTTTTCAGAGAAGAGCTGGATAATAAAGAGATTTGGGGAGTAATAGGGTCATAGGATCACTGTGAGTCCAAATGGTCTCGACGGCATTGTGTTTGGTTTTTTTGAGGGGAGAGGAATCTGCTTTTCCTCCTAATGCCATTGAAGTAATTAACCGTTTCAGAACTGCTGTAGTAAGTAAAAATGATGTGATAGACTTGTTAGAATTAGAATGAGGCAGAGAGGTGTATTAGTTTCCTAGGGTTGCTGTAACAAATTTGGTGGCTTAAAGCAACAGAAATTTATTCTCTCACAGTTCTGGAGGCCAGAAGTCAGAAATCAAGGTGTTAGCAGGACTGCACACCCTCTGAAGGTGCTAGAGAAGAATCTATGCCTCCTCCAGCTTTTGCTGGCTCCAGGCATTCCTTGGTTTGTGGCTGCATAACTCCAGTCTCTGCCTCCATCTTCATAGGGCTTTCTTCTCTTTCTCTTGCTTATGAAGACACTTGTCATTGGATTTAGGGCCCACCCATAAATCCAGGATGAGCTCATCTCAAGATCCTTAATTATATCTGCAAAGACCCTTTTTCCAAAAAAGGTCACATTCACAGGTTCTGAGGATTAAGACATGGACATTATCTTTTGGGGGGCACCATTCAGCCTACCACAGGGGGTAAGAACTTCCTTGGAGAAGTGTCACACAGAATACCAGATTAGACAGGTACTTAGTAGACCATGATAAAAAAGGGGATAAGGCAGGTCCCATATTGGAAGTATAGAAGGACAAAAGTCTGATGCTCAGAGGAAGGTTTAGGGTATCAAGGAAGGTTTTATAAAGGTAGTATTACTTGAAGGATAGATAGAATTTCATCAGATAATGGAGGATAATCTGGAGTGTGCAGATACTGAGAATAGTAAGAACAAAAATAGGGAGGCATCAGTTAATACATTTGACTAAAGTATGGTATTTAGAGAACTAGGGGAGGATGAGGTTGAAAAAGCCAAGCCAATTGACGGGAGGGTTTTAGAGTTGAGTTAATGAGTTTGTACTTGGTTTGGAATTGCTTATCCATGAGAATGCTGTCTTACAAGGTTTTCTAACAGGAGCATTCAGGACTACGATAAAATCCTTTGAA